TATATATATATATGTGTGTGTGTGTGTGTGTGTGTGTGTGTGTGTGTCATTGATTTTCAAAGATCATTTGTTACTAAAGTGTGTTGATGAGAAATGGTATGCAAACTTTCAAACATAAAATGCAAGATAAGAAGTTGTATTGTGGGGGCTGGAGAGATGGCTCAGTGGTTAAGAGCTCTGGATGTTCTTGCAGAGGACCCAGGTTTGAGTCCCAGCACCTACATGGTGGCTAACAACCATAAGTAACTCCAGTTCAGGGTACTGATGCCCTCTTCTGATCTCTGCAGGCATTGCATGACACAGATGCATCTACTTACATGCAAATAATACATTCACACACATAAAAGAAAAATAATAAATAAAATATTTTTTAAAAGAAGTATTGATGGAATCATATTCATATCTATTGCTTTAAAGTTATCTATATTCAGTTTTACTATATTGCACAAAATGATTATTTTGTATTCTTATTATAATTGTATTTATATATTTCTGTTAGAACACACTTTCTCTAATTATGGACTCCTTAATTACACAGCTGATTTAATATATAGTTATGTAGTTGCTATTACCTAGGGTAAACATATAAATCTACATAATAACTAGAAAGTATTAAACTTGAGTTTTCATTGCTTTTTCTTTTGAAATGAGGTCTCGTTTTGTTAACCAGGCTAGCCTCAAACTCCTACACTGGTATGATCATCCTCCCTCAACATTCTGAGTAGCTGGAACTACAGGGGTGTGTCCATACAAAGCTCTCATACCTTCTTTAATGCCTCTTGAAGACTTTGGACTAATTATTATTATTATTATTATTATTATTATTATTATTATTAAATGTCTTTTTGAGACAAGGTTTCCCTGTAGCCTCAGATGGCCTGGAGCTCACTATGTAGACCAGGCTGACCTTGAACTTAGAGATTTGGCTGCTTCTGCCTCCCGAGACTGGGATTAAAGGTATGCACCATGCCCAGTTAACATTGCAATATTATTATATAGGGATAGAGATGTTCTTTTTGTTGCTCAATTTGTAATATATTATTCATTAAATTATTTAGCATACATGAGAGTACATATTTTATTTTACAATAACAAAAGTTTTTTAAAAATGCTTTCCAAGACCAAATAGATGTAGTGATCTATAAGAACCTATCCGTTTCTTCATACTAACCCTGTTCTTATTACCCTCCCAAGTAGCCAATAAATGATGAACTGTATCACTGGGCAGTTGGGAGAAGTCACAAAAGACATGTCACTCACTTGGTTATATGTCATAATAGATAATTATGTTCAGCGTCTGAATTATTATTCCCTTTTCTATATAAAATAAAAAAATAAAAACTTATTAGAAAGAACTTGAGGGCTGGAGAGGTGGCTGATGTGTAGTAAGCATGAGGATCTAATTAGTATCTCAGCACTTAAATTAAAAGAGCTGAACTTAGCCTCAGCATTGTGAAGGATAGAGACAGGAGGATTACAGGGGCTTGCTGGCTGTGAGGTTAGCTCCAGGTTTGGCGAGAGATGCTGGCCCAAAGGAATAAGGTGGAGAGTAATAGAGCAGGACATCCAATGTCCTCTTCTGGCCTCTAAGCATCCACACAGATGCAGAAATGCACACACACACACACACTCACACTCACGCACATGCACACACACCCCACAACAACATATATCACACTCACAGGCAAATAAAAGATAAAAGCCAGCTTAAAAGTGATCATTGGCTTTTCCAGTTTCTTATGTAAAATGTGACATAACTGAGCCTGAATCCACAAAGTAGGATACAAAAGTCATTGATATGAAAAGGATAAGATGGATGTTAAATATAATTATGTCCCTAGCCTTTTTAAAAATCCATTTCTTCCATATCCCAGAAATTGTAGCAAATAAGTCCCCTAAATAAGAGTCAAATAATTGGACTGGAGAGATGGCTCAGCTGTTAAATGTGTGGACTGCTCTTGCAGAGGACCAATTTAGTTCCCAGAACCCAGGTTCGATGACTCACAACCACCTGAAACTCTAGCTCTAGGGGATCTGATGACCTCTTCTGGCCTCCACTGCAATGGACTCATTTGCACAAAGCCAGGCATATACACATAGACACCTACTTAAAAATAAAAATAAAATCTTTTAAAAATGAACAATTTCAGAAGCAATTATGGATACATATTTTGTGTAAGCAACTTTCCTCTGTAAGGAGTTTGTTACCCTACTAAGTATATAAATTGAATGTTTGGTGCTCCATTTAAGACAAATGCCTCATAAATGAGATACCAACCTTATGACCAACACTCTGCTAAACTGATTTACTCGCCCAATCCCAAGAAAGTGATAAACTTTACCCTGATCTGTCTATTTCTTACCAATAATAAAGAATTTCCTCAGTCTTCTCTTGCCTTCCCTAGTGCACTGCTAGTAAGTATCTGGGTTTAGAATGAAACACCCCAGAAGCTTGAGGCCACAATGTAGACCAAGACATGAACAACAAGAAGACATCAGCAATCAGCATTGTACACATGTGGATTTATAGAGCAGGAAACAGCTGTCAATCTGAGACCTTTCCAAATCACCTCTTGTGAGAGTTATGCTTTAGTAAGAACACTTAACTGAATCAAATGCTCTACTAATTTTAGCATTTTCTTCTGTGAGGATGTTTTATATTTAAAGAAATCATCCATCCAGTCCTCACTTCTGCAAACACGGAGGCAAATGAAACTTCGGCAGCACTGAGCCCCATTCTCCAAACACGTCTTGTTGCATTTGCTTCTCCTGAAGAGCGTCTCTCTTTTTCTCCACTTGTTCTAACAATGTTTTCCTTCCAGTAGGCTCTCCTTTCTTTTTCCATGCTAGATTGCGCCACCCGGCGGCTAGGAGTTTGAAAAAAAAAATCTTTCTGGAAGGAATACTTGCTCACTTTCTTTTTCCTGCAGCTTTTCTTAAAGGCAGTTGTCCAACTCATTCCAGCGAACAAGAGGCAGGGAGTAACCATCACTCACCACACTCCTCTTTGGGCCCATTTCCTATTTTGTTGTTTAAAGCAAGGGAAAGGCACAAGTCAAAGCTGGCCCGCAGCAGGATAGCAGAGCTCCTTCTGGCTCAGGAGGAGGCGCTGCTCTGAGGTGGCAGCGTGCCTGTTGCTGTCCAGACCTCGGTGCTGAATATTAGACTCTGGGCCAGCTCCCTTGAAGTTCAATACCTCCTCATGCATTCTCAGAGTCTCATAAGACTCTCAGGTGGCATGGGAAGCTTTCTCATTCTCTCTCTAAAGGAGAGTAATCTTCCACAACGATGCACCGTGTATTTAATGGAAAGTAGTGGCACAGCTTCCGTTCAGTGATAAAATAAAAACAATCTAATGAGGGAAAAATATTAAGTCTTGTATTAATGAAACTTGCTCTTCCCTTCCCCAACTCAATACAGCAGCCCTTGGGGCCCTAGACCCCTTTATTGCAAATTTACAATACCTTTCTGTTTTGAAACTTGTGTGTTTAATCTTTTTTTCTGAGTAACCACTGCAGTGGTGATACTGAGCACCACACTGTCTAGGCTATAAAAAATTTTAGATATTGCCTTAACGAGGCTCAGAAACAAGAGAGAAGGAAGTATGCATGATTTAAAACGTTCTTTATAAACGTTTTACATTGTCTTGGAGAAGTGCTCATTTTCTTAAGTGATTTAGAGTAGAATCAGGGCAGTAGGTAGCTTCCCTCCTCTGCCCTCTAACCCCCTGCCAGATTTAAAAGATCCAAGAGCCTTGTTGTTGCCGTTTATAGCAGGTGCTGATACCCAACGGGTCACTCTAAGAATCCTTCCCTCACTCCCGACCCCCATGCATATGCACACGAAATAATGAAGTAAACATACAGAAAATAGATGGAAAGGAGAGGAAGTGCGCTGCGCTGCCAGCTTTGGGTTCTTGGTCGCACTTCTCTTTGAGGAATGAAGATGTTTCTCATAGCTACAGTATTTATGTGCCGACAGCAGAATTAACTGATCCCAACAAACAGTTCCTTCCTTTTCTCAATCCTTCGCTGCTTATTTTAGTCTCTTTTCCACCCCGCCGGGAATACCATCCAGATCTTAGTCCAGGTAGATCTGACGTCAAGAGATGGCTTTCGTCGATTTGACGTGTAAACACTCATTTCTATTCTGGTTGGGGAAGGCTGGGGCTCCACTCAGCCCGGAGACCAAAGCGCTTCACTGAGCGCTCGCCGCCACCCAGCCTCCCCTCGCGCGCCTCCCAGCTCTTCCCAGAGCAACTGGGAGCTAGGAGTGGTTCAGAGCTCCGGGGTGGGAAGGTCGAGTCTAGCTGGCCTTTCTCTGGGCTCGCTTCTTTTCTCTATCAGGCCTTTCCACTTGTGTGAAAGCGAGTGTGTGAGCCATGAAGCAAATAGGTTGGACTCTGCAGTGCACTGCTTTCGCCCTCTTTTGCGCCTGGTTTGCACCGAACAGCGTAAAAGCCAAGAGGCAGTTTGTCAATGAATGGGCGGCGGAGATCCCCGGGGGTCCAGAAGCAGCCTCTGCCATCGCCGAGGAGCTGGGCTATGACCTTTTGGGCCAGGTAAGAGTTTCCACTTTGAAGAAACTTTCTGGGGCTCGAGGGAACTGGTGGGACTGCAGTACGGTCTCCCAAGTGGGAGCCTCAGATGACACTTTCCTGCGCTCAGTGGGCAAACAGCTAGGAGCATCTCCGGCTCTCCGCCTCTGGCGCGCTTTTAGAAGAAAATGCTTGCATTATTTACTGTTTGGGATGAGCGCCGCCAGGCTGGAAGAAGCCGCTGCAGCTGAGTACAGCTTATTCTCACTGGGGTCCACTCTAGGATTGAAGTCCGTTCCGGCGAGGTTTGGCCAAATAAAAATCCCTCCAGGTTTGTTCAGGGAACTTAAGATGCACCCAGCCTCTCGCCAACCAAGAGCTCGGCAGGAGAGGCTGTGCGTTGGGTCCCCGGGGACTCTGGCTGCCTGTGTCCAGAGCAGGCGCTTTCCTTCTTCCAATATGGCAGCATCAGATCTAAGTACTGATGTAAGTGGCCAGGCAGGCTTGGAGATGTACGCCCGCGGCCTTTGGGGACACGCCCAGAGCTTGGAGAAAATGCCAATTGCTGGACTGACGACTCCGAGTTTGGTGGGGGGTGGGGGTGGTGCAGGGTGATCGCAGACGCTGTCAGGGGACTACATAACAGAAAGACTCCAGCACCTCTGTGGCTGGGGGAGTTTCGGGTTTTCACTGGGAACTTGTGAAGTCAGAGCTTCATAACTTTGCTTGCCCAGTGCCTGGGCAGGGTAAAGCTGCCGAAATTGTCTGTGGCTAAAGGATCTGTTTCGATTTTGTTCCTCAACCAGGAGCGTAATCATTTCCCAGGGGTTTCAGATTATGAGAGAAACTGTTGTCTACCCAAGTGTGTGCTGATTGACTGGTTGGGAGGGGCGCACAGAGGCATTGGTGCGAGCCTGCTTGGCACAGCGATCTCAAGGGACCCCAGAGGGTGTGATTTCTAATCTGGAGCTTTCCTTTCTCTTGACGCAGAGTTAACCCCTCGCCCCCAGCCTGGGAAGTCAATCTACAGCTAAGCGGGGGAGGAGGGAGTTGTAAAACATTTTGGCGCGTTTTCTATTCTGGAGGTGGTGATTGAGATGCCTCTGAAGTCACGGATGAGTAATCAGCGTGGGCGTTGGCGATTCCATACATCAAATCCGCTGGGGAATACGCCTTCTCTAGCTAGAGGCTTCATTTTTTTTCCAACTTCGTGAGCCAAACTGTCTTTGAAATGCTCTGAAGGAAACTCAGTATCCCAATTAAATTTCCAGTGCCCCAATAGTAGGCTGAGCCTTTTTCACAGTTTGAGGCGCTGTGTTAGGGGCTGAGGAATAAAAGGAAGAGAGAGAGACGCTCTCAAGGAATTCAGAATCTAGAGGAGAGTGGCTTTGAAACAAATGGTGGTACCGGAATGCAATTTCTACAATAATAGAAGTTGTCATTTGAGGTTCAAAACAGTATTTTTTGATAGAAGGAAAAAGGGTAGAAGGGAATTGGGGAGGAGTGAAGGAAAGTTACCTAAAGGAGGAAGCATCTACACATGCTATAGGAAGATCAGAGGTGGCCAGGATATGGTGAGACTAGAGGAGGCACTCCAGGCATAGGAAATAGCTTCTGAGAAACAGAGACACGGAACTGATAAAGCTGATAAATCTGGTAACTGTGTCAATTTCTGGGCATTTGGGGACCAAAAGAGCAGTAGCTGGAATTATATTGGTGGGTATCTCAGGCACCATGGAAATCCTATGTCTTAGAAAGGAGTATTTGGTCCTGTATCCTCTGGGCAGCTTGATGATTGTGTGACTGGGCGAGAAGGAAAAACAAACAAACAAACCATTAAATGCTCTTCTTTTTTTCTCATGTGTTAACCTCAGACATATGTCCAAACCTAGACCACTCTGCATGAAAATAACATAAATCCAAAGAGTAATAAAATAATAAATCAGTGTTCTTGGTAGACTTTTTAGGATAGAGATGACATACATAGTCTTAAGAATAATTTAGAAATTACCATCTATATTGGCATATGATTTACAGCGTCCTTCTAAACATTTCTAGTTTAAATGGAATTACTAACAAATGATTTTAGAAAATAATTATTTGTAAAAGACTGATACTGCTTTTGTAGTTCAACTTATTTTCCTTTTGGTTCAGCATTCCTGAAATCACACTACTTTAGCACCAGTATCCTAAACTATAATAGCCTTCCGATAAAGCTGGGACGGGGAGAAACAAGGAGCAAACTAGTGGACACGAGAAACAGAGCTATGTAACCATGATCTTTCCCTTTGGCTTTTGATACCTCTCCTCAGTTCCATCAACTGCTTGCAGTAGATTCACTCCCTAAGCCTCTGTTCTTGAGCTAAGGCTAAGCATTTCTACTAAAAGCAATTCTCTGGGTGATTAGAACCAGCTATTTAAAAAACATGTTTCTACATGTTGTCAATTGTTCATATCTTAATTTTAAAAATATAGGGTGTCTAAAGGTTTTGGTAATTTCGTATTTTGTATTGTTTTTTGTAAAAGAACATTAGTTTAAAAGAATATTGAACATAGTTTTGTATGAAGCAGAGGTGTTGATAGCCACCCAGAAAAGTACACATACCCTAAGGCAGGACACCTATCCTAAATACAGCATAATCCTTCTTGAAAGATTGAACTAATGGAAAATTGAATTACCAATAATAGCTGGAAATATTTATCACTATTGATTCTAACATCTTTTGTCAACAATACCTTGTTTTAGCTGAATATGGCAGTAATAATTGATAAATCCAAAATGCCATTATATATGTAGTCCAATGTCTACATATATAATGTTTTCATGCAAGAAAACACAAGGTATGTCTTCTAAAGGCTATGGAACAGAAGCATCACTGTGAATCCATTTAAGCTGAGTGTCCATCTGTGCCTTCCTCCTGAAGAAAAAAATTATCTTCAAGGAATCAGGATTGGGTTCAATAAAAGACAGTTTTTTTCTGTGTTAGTTGGCTTTGTGAACTACTCTGAATATACATGTTGGAGAAAGTAAATAGTTATTTTGATTTCTTTAATAGATTGGATCACTTGAAAATCACTACTTATTCAAACACAAAAACCATCCCCGAAGGTCTCGAAGAAGTGCTCTTCATATCACTAAGAGATTGTCTGATGATGATCGTGTAAGTGTGCATTTGTCCTCAGCTACTACCCTGACTTACCGCTTTTTCTATGAATTCCAACAGGAGCAGAGCATTTTACATTTATGACTCTTTTGTATTGTTATCATTAATTGCTTATCTTTACTGTTTATCAGTTCTTTCTATGGAATTATAATTGTACATAATACATTTGGTTTTGATTAACTGAGCTAACTAAAATTAATTATATACATATGCACTTTGATTATATGTGGCATGTATTTACATTTCTAAAGTCCTGATTTTTTTTAATGCTGAAAATCATGGGCAGCACTAATGACAAATTTGACAATGTAATTGGTCAACAGTCTTTTATTATATGCTGTATGCTAAAGATGATATGCTCTTTCTTGAAAGCCTTGAATTAGCAGAAAATTTAAAGATCACTTTAACAGCAACCCAACGATGCTAAAGAGGTATATGGCCCTTGTTTTCAATAAGGCTTCAGTGTCACTGAAAAGCTTTCCACCATTTTCACTACTAGAAACATGCCAGTATTCATGAGACTACTATAAATTCCGTTCCTTACAAGGTAAATGTTTCCACAGCTGCTGTTATTGTTTGGCATAAACTATATCAGTAATATCTCTCTTTGCATCCTGGTTTGTTCATGAGTATTTGGCAACAGCAGGAAATTTCCGGGATCAATATAGGTAAATAGGGTGAAGACAATTTGAATGCATATTTAATATAGTTATTGATTTTCAAAATCAATTTTCAAAGTCAGAAAATATATCAATAGAAAAGACTGAAAACATTAGGAGTGTTCAAATATTCATACACAGTGTTGCTTGCCTTAGTCAAGTTCTCATGACTATACCATTCTTAGAGGAATTAATGCTAGTTGGCCTAAGGCCTGCATATATAATTAATATTACTTAGGACAGTGAGAAAAACAAAATACTGTCTTAACTTTGGGAAGGGGGTGGAGATGGTAACAGAAAGGTGTCAATAATAAAGCAGTTGAAAGTATATGAAATATGTGAATGAAATACTTTGTAGTAGTTTGTTTTGCTCTTCTACTGATAGATTTTGAAAAATAAGTCAAATTGTGAGGATAGTGAAATATTGGGCCTTGGACTCCAGGGTTCAAACATACCGGAATGCTGCTGTATATAACAAAGAACAGAAAATCTGAAGCTCATATAAGCCCATTGCTATGTCAACTTAGGGCTAGATGTGGAGGACCAAATCAGAGGCCATGAACCTCTTAAAAACATTTTCTTGTTTAGTAACATTTTATCTTAACCCCTCAAAGGTAGAGGGCTCATTATTTGTGGGATCTGAAAAGTAGGCCAGCTTCCAGTACCCTGACTGAGCTTGGTCCTTGGACAAAGCAAGAGAGAGAATTTCTTCTCAGCCTGAAATACATGCCCAACATTAAGGTACAAGGAAGCCAAACTGATGTCCCTTCTCATCTTCATGGAAGACACTGGATGGAACGGAGTATTCCAACTATTCTTAAAGTACCTGGAGATACTCAAAGTGTCTCATGAAAAGGAACAGATGGCTTGGTTATAGTCTTTGGCTATCTCCTTGATAAATTTTGGGGAAATATCAAGGCATTACAAAAGGCTAATAATTTACTGCCTAATGAAATGTCATAAAAGGAGTTTATATAATCCTGTGAAAAATAAGTAAGTCCTGTGAAAAGCTCCAGGATAGTTTTATTTTAGGAAACATCTTAAAGCCATAGAAACCTGCAGTGAACAAGATCATCTTCCCAGATGCCAAGTACTATTTACAACTCAGTATCTGATAACTGTTATACATATAAGAAGACACCTCCGATTTTCCCTTTAGTCTGCTCTTCTAGAGATTAATATGCGATTCTAGTTAATCATAACATTAATCATAACATGGCTTCCTACAATTGAATGTTTACAAAGTGCCTCTTCTATTCCATTTTTAAAATTGCTCTTGATTTTTCATTTTTTTTGCTCTTTTTTGATGGGGGATAATATTCTTTCAAATAAGCCCTGTGAAATGCATCAAAAAGCCTATCTTTACAGACTACTGAAATCTCCAACTATAAGTGACTGTCTCCCACAAGGATTAGTATTGTGTCCCCTAGCAGCCTGCTTCCAAAGACCAAGTCAGATTTCAAGCAATATGTTCCAAGCAGTATAGTATTTTAAGCCAAAACAATTAAACATGAAGATACAAGCACTTTAAAATAAATTATAGTGGCTAATTTCTGGCTCTCAAGTCCCAGTGTTTATAATTGGTTTGCAATACATTTCTAATTGAAAATTCAGGGCATTCCTAGTGGATGGCTTTGTCCTTCAGCTGGAAATTATTTTTCAGTTTTTATTTTTGGATCTGACTCATTAGGACTTTCATTAGCTATATCCCACCTCACACTGGACTGTTATCTCATAGACAAGAGAAAAGCTGTGTTTAGTGCAGGAAATAGTCATATTACCCAGCAAAATAAGAGTACAGCATTATCTCATAATTATTATAAGTACAAGAAAGCACTGCATCCTCTCAGGGCTCAACTATAATAGGATTATACCAGAGATGTGGGCCAGGTAATTTTTGTATTGTCAGATCTGTTTGCATAATGCATGAGGCTGAATTAATGGCAGGTGTGCCTGGTCAGTAACGCTCATTTATCACCTGGGATCTTGAATCTGTTTCTCATATTAAATACTGTTAGGCAGGAGGCTGAAACATGGGGGAGCCAGAGTTTCAAATCTGCAGACACAGCACCATTCTTGTAACATTTGCAATTCCACCATTTGGATGTAAAAATTAAGCAACAAGAGCATGATAACTGCATTCTCTGTGGCCTCTAAGCTTGTTGACTCATTCTGTGAAAATGGACAAATTTTCATCCTTGGAACTTCGGTATGAAAATGCATATTACAGCCCATTTTCTGATGGAAGCAGGCTGCACTTTTACTTCTACTGTAACCACAGTGTAAATAATCTGAGGGAGTCATCACTTCACTGACTGCTTTTCCTCCCCCTAAAGATACACTTTACTGTAATAGAGGGAACATTTGTCTTCTCAGTGGGCAACCCCTTCTCCCTGTGCTGAGAGTTTGAGCTGTGGTCAGGCAAAAGCGTTGTGAAGCTGTCTGAAATCTGAGTCCTGGATCTAGAGGAAGGATGATTATACACAAGTAGAGGCTTGAGTTTGATTTTCTTATTATAAAAATCCTTGTAGGTGATATGGGCCGAACAGCAGTATGAAAAGGAGAGAAGGAAACGTTCAGTTCTAAGAGACTCAGCATTAAACCTCTTCAATGATCCAATGTGGAATCAGCAGTGGTACTTGGTAAGTACTTAAAGGACTGTGCAGGACCTGGGTTCTTTATATTGTTACATCATCTACACAGTGGATTTGTCTGTCTATCCATGAATCTGATACAGAATTTGGCAGAGGCTTGTGCTATCTAGAGTATAGATGATGGCACATTCCTGGCATGGAACTTTTGTTTTACTGAGTGAGTTACCTAAAACAAATATTTGTCTGTTACTGCTCCTTGGTTTTTGCCTTCTTAACTGATACAAGTGTAGAAGAATCATGTCTTTCCAGGTTAGAGGTTTCAAAAACGGTACTCATGATTAAAATAACTTATGGTGGGAATTTGCTCTTGAGAACTTTCTAAATACTCAAAGTATATAGTTAATGTGACTAGTACTATACAGCTCTGAATGACAATTCCTACATGCTTCAGACAGGCATCTTTGAATGAGGCTAAGAGAAGAGATGCTAGGAAAATTTATTTGTAACTATCTAGACTTGCAAACCATTGTTCTTTTAAGATGTTTACTAAATCTTTATTGCTGTATGGGTACTGAGAGAAGTTGGACACATTCCTGCTTGCCTTCAAGGTATTCTCTGCTTTAATGTTAAGTTTCTATAATAGAGACATATGCTATTAATAGGAGGGTTTGTTGTTGGGGATAATATAAAAGATGATTTTCACAACTACAGACTAAGGCTTAGACAGTACATTGTACATTAGATAGGAAAGGCTATGAGTTCCTCTTCCTGTTCTTTTAAGCTAAGCAAGCAATTACAGCAGAAAACATGAGTCAACTAACACCTGTTGTGCGTTTACTATTCTAGATAAATTCTAAATTCTATACTGAATGTTTGATATGAATTAACTCATTAACTTACCAATATTTTACAAATATGATTATTACTAATTATGCTCATTTAACACATGAAGCAACAGAGACACTGGCAACTTGAATAATTTACTAACTCAGATAGCTTCTGGTAGTGGTGCCATAATTCATGGCCCTGGAGGCATTCTGAACAACCACACTCTATAATCACTCCTGCAGTTGACATAGTGATCTTCTTCTCTGCCTTTGGCCAACAAAAAGTTTGTGTGGTCCCAACTGCCTGTGATTCAACTTCACAATTGCCTGATACATCCCTACCACACTTTATGGAAAGCATCAACAAGGAACAGTCCATTCGTGGACATTTTTTATTGTGGTTACTTATAAATGTCTTGTTGACACCTTCACCGGGTACCTGGTATTCTGCTATGTATCTCACTTGCTTAGAAATGTGCCTGTGTCTGTGTTATCTTGTTGCTTGGCTCTTCTGTACAGTCTTATATACTGTAACTATCAGAAAAAATACCTGATAAGGAAAACCCCAAATACCTTTTATAGATAATTCCTCACTAAATTACTCATACATGGAAAAGGCCAGTTAAAAATGTGGTTTCTGGTAAGACTACAGTCTCCTGAGACTTGCAGGTTCTTATTTTTCTCTTAGGAGAAAATATCTACAGTATCCATGAATGATGAGGGCTCAGTGTGGCAAGGAAGGCTCAGGACTTTTGGAGAATATTAAACATATGCCACCAAATAAAGCTTCAATTAGAAAAGCTTGAGCTTGCTATTATAAGTGGGAAAACATTGGAGATGAAACTCTTTAAATCCATGTAGTTCAAAGAGAAGAGACTTCAGGTAATTCAAATTCTCATGACTTTCCACTGGAACAACCAGATAAGCATCTGATGGGTCATTTGGCAGCACCTTCAGCTTTTTGTTTAGGTTTTACCCATCTGCCTTCCTCTAAATAACTGGGTGACCCGAGGAAAAAGAAAGATGATCTCTAGGTTGGAAGTTAAATACGTGGTTAAGCAAGAAAATCGCTTTACCGATGTGTCTCGATTTTCTTCACCAGCAAGACACCAGAATGACAGCAGCCCTGCCCAAGCTGGATCTTCATGTGATACCTGTTTGGCAAAAGGGTATTACAGGCAAAGGAGTTGTTATTACCGTACTGGATGATGGACTGGAGTGGAATCACACAGACATTTATGCCAACTATGTGAGTCTGAGCGGTCCTATATCTGTGCTGTGTCTTAAGGAGCTGTCTCTGCAGACATACCAGGCGTTGCTTCCTTTGAAACAGGGGGTTGCTACTTTGGGGTCAGCCACTAAGATGTTGGACAAGGCTTTCTTTGCTTTGCCTTCCTATCAGCCTGTGTAAACTTGTTTTGTACCAGTAGGTATTAGTGAAGTTCAGTGAGGTCAAGGATTACACATAGCAAGATGTGCTAGGGAAGTAGGGAAGGTGATTGTATTTTCTTCTGAAAGAATATTTCATTGGGGGCTGGAATGATGGCTCAGAAATTAAGACTGTTTGCTCTTGCAGATGACTCGGGTTTAATTCGTAGCACCAGCATAGCTGATAACAACTGTCCTTAGCTCCAGTTCCAGGGGATCTGATGCCCTCTTCTGTGGGAATTGCATGCATGTGGTACACTTATGTACATGCAGACAAAGCGCTTATTTATGTAAATTTTATGTATTTTATTAAACACTCATATAAATAAATTTTATTTGAGGTGGGTGGGCATTGTAGTGAATGTCTTTAATCCCAGCACTCCTGAGAGGCAGAGGCAAGCAGACCTCTGTGAGACTGAGGTTAACCTGGTCTACACAGTGAGTTGTAGGCCAACTGGGGCTACAGGGAGGCTCTGTCCAAAAAAAAAAAGCAAAAAATAAATATGTAAAAATATTTTATGTGTAAGAGTGTTTTGACTGCATGTCTGGTTGTGTACTATGTGCACTCAGTGCCCACAGGGCCAGAAGAGGGCATCAGAATGCCCAGAACTAGAGTTATAGATGGGTGTGAAATACCACATGAATGCTGGGAACCAAAACCAGATCCTCTGCAAGAGCAGCAAATGCTCTTAACCACTGAACCATCTCTCCAGCTCACCAATGAAATTATTAAAACTCATTCAAACTGTGAGCCACTCTGCATTTACAGCAGAAAAGCATCAAATCAAGCTTGATGTCTGAGATCATGTTACAGTTATCTTCTCTTATTCTTATGGGTCAGTATTCCTACATTGCAAAGTTACATGAATATGATTCCCTCCATGCAAATTCAAGGTGAATACCATAGTAAAAAATGCCACATCAAGAAAGAATGACTTTACTAGAAATGGGAAAATAAATAATTGAATTTCATGTGCTTAATTATTTATGAAGTTTATAGTAGAGCATGAACTCTATAATGTATTTATTGTTTTGGTTTTTCAGGGGATGGAATTTCTTCCATCAAATTATTCTTTATCTTTCCTGTGTCCTTTTCACCCACCCAAAGTTCTCCAGCTACAGCTTAAAGCTGAAGGACAAGGAAAAAGGAAAGGTAGACAAGAAATGAAGAAATGGCCCTGGTAAAAATCAAGAATTATTGAAAGATACAGGATACAGGAAATAGTGGTAATGGAGTTCCTAGGTCAGAGAGACTTAAGCATAGCAATAAGATCAGAAAAGAGGAGAGGGTGGGACATGGAAAGTTATCTTAAATTTCAAGTACCTCTTCAGTAATGGAATTTCATGATTTCTTACCATTCCTAAGCACTCTGAAAGAATCCATCATGGACTTCAGCCCCACCTCACAGCCATTTCTTTGCATCTATGGTAGTAAAGAGATGTGTGTCACCACATTGAGAATTAGCCCTGGAACTCAAGTTATTCCATTTCTCTGGGCCCACATTTTTCTTTTTTGAAAAATGAGACAACTGAACCTAGACATTCTGACTTTTTGTAGCTTTGCAAACATCTGTGAACTATGGGTTTAGTGCAGTAATTGAGTGAGAGGGCTAACTTTGCTCTCATCATCACTGCCTGGTTTGTGGATAAAATAAATGGTCAGTGACTAGGCTGAACGCTGAAATGCAGGCTTTGGAGCTGTCTGCGAGGAGGGGAAGAGACTGTGGTGAAGGCTCGGGAAATGCTTCATTTTTATGACATTTCACTGGGGTTTTTTTTTTGTTGCCTTTTTAGGACCCAGAGGCTAGCTATGATTTCAACGATAATGATCATGATCCATTTCCCCGCTATGATCCCACAAATGAAAACAAGTGAGTAAATGTGCATTTTGGAGGAATAAAGTTCTTTACAATGCTTTTATCTTGTTTGAGAGAATTATATTATAAATTTGGTGTACATTTAAGCTCTTAGTTAATGTAACTGCATCCCACCCACACCTTGATATTTTGTTCTTTTAAAACAGAAAACTATTTTCATATTCCTTTTAATTTAAAGAAGCATATTTAATTAAATTTCTTATATTATAGAAGTCTCATTCTTATATCATAAAATTAGCCCCTCAGGGATTGATGAACACTTGTAGTTTAGGAAGATTGTTAGGGATATAGTAGATATACATTTTAAGCACCCTTTTCCCTTACCAATTCTTCTATGAATCTTTTACTACTAAAAGATGGCATGCTTGATATTAATCATGAAAAAGAAACGTATAAATAAATTCATGTGAGAAAGTCTCAACACCCAACAACTTTTTATTGTGGAAACAACCATGCTCAGCAGTTCCCCATGAAGGGCATGGCCAGTCCACAGACAAGAGAAATACAGCTGAGGCCTGACTCCCACCTTTGATATTCTCCAAGGGCTGAAGCAATTAGGAGCCTGCAAAAAGAGAAAGGAGAGGCCCTGACTCCTGCACTAACACCTTCCCAGGTATAAGGGAGGCCAGGAGTTGGTCCTTCCAAAACTGGAGGCCAAAGAAAGACTCAGAAGCTACAGAGTTCTATCTCCTCTCTTAGCTCCCAAAAAACTGTATAGATGTGTAGTCTTAAATTATCCACGCCCATGTGACCACTCACCTTTTTTTATACTAATATTTCTCACAAACTTCAAGGAGACATTCAAACTTTCCTGCACATTTTCTATACCTAGAAGACACTTGCATCAAAATAGATAAAATCCAAGGCCAAAACAGGGCCTGTGGCTATAAAAGGGGATGGGAAAAGCTCGGGCAACTGAAGGAGCCTCATGGAATGTGAGTACTTCTCTTTCCTCTCTAGGTTGCTGTGTCTTGGCCTATTAACTAATTTGTGTTGGTAAAGTTTCCTTCCCAAGCCCTCAATTTCAGAACTCCTGCATGGTTGGTGTAATAAAGGTGACTTAAACTTAAGGTTCTTTCTTTCTTTAGATGATTTTCTAACTTCCAGAAAGTCAGTACACCCCAAGAGACCAAACCATATAGATGTCGCCTTAAAGCCATGTGTCTGTTTCTTCCTTTCAGAGAAGGGAAGGTTCTGTAGGGTTCATATGCTACTTCATCTAGTACCACTTACTTCTTCAAGGGTTTGAATAAAGGAGTTAACTGAAAATATTCCTTGGAAATTAAGACATTCTAGTAGCAATGCAGTAGAAATCGCTGGTGCAGTCCTTGGAGGAAAATGGGAATGTCTTGAGAATAACATCAAGGTTCACCGACAAACTGCTAGACATATTTCTGGGTCAGGATAGTGCAGAAACAGCAGGAACACCTGGTCTGTTGGAGCGTGGCCTTGCCCTGTTGCCCTGGCTGGCAGCTGTGGCTTTGTCAATACTGGTATGGAGGGGGTAATCTTAGAGAAGTTGCTCACTTTTCTTTGACTCCCCTTTTTTCTTGCTTGTCACCTAATTTAAATGCTAAGACACCTGGCCCCTATATTTCTGAAAGAAACTTCTTGAGGAACAGTTGTTACCTTCTTCGAATGGTGTAAAATCAACTTTCATTGTACCTCTGATTAAGACTGAGAACATAGTGAGGCTGTGGAGACTTACTAGAGGAGACAGTATACCTCTAGCCCATATAGATCTTAGGGTCTGGCTGAAGGATACAATGTGGGAGGATAATTTGTATAGTGGAACTCTACAGTTTCTCTGTTCATGAGGAGGGCTCAGACCTCATGCGAGTCATATTTCTATTACTGTAACAAATACAGGTAAATCAACTTAAAAAGAAAAAAGGTTTCTTTTGGCTTACAATTTTACAGGTTTCAGTCCCTGCTGATTTTTGGACCTGTGGTGAGGAAATACATCAAGGTGGGGAGTATGTGGTGGTGCTGCTCACTGGCAACAGTAAGCAATCAGAGAGGATGAGACCAACATTCCACAATCACGTTTTTAAAAATTATTTTTTAATATTTTATTATTTTTATTTTATGTGTATGAGTGCATTACCTGCAGGTATGTGAGTGCACCCGTGTCTTGCAATGCCACAGAAGTCAGAAGAGGGCTTCGGATTCCCCTGGAACTGGAGTTAAGGATGGTTCGTAGCCACCATGTGGATGCTGGGAATCGAACCCGGGTCCTCCATAAGAGCAGTCGGTGCTCTTAACTGTTGAGCCATCTCTCCAGTCCTCAACAATCACTTTTAAGGGCATGCCCCTGATTACATAAAGTCTCCCACTAGGCCCTACTTCTTAAAGGCTCCATTGCCTTCCAGTAGTAGGGGACAACCCTTTAACACATGGGGAAGGCAGTCAAGATCCAAGCTGTAACAGATCTTCTGCCCTGTCCCGAAGAAGGGACATTTCACAGTAAAACATCTGTAATAGCTCTAAAGCCCCATATAATGTTATTTATGTTTAGCCTGAGAACTCTGAGTATCTAGAGTATTGCCCACTGTGGACCAAATGGCATAGAGTTAACATAGCATGAGTCTAACAGTTAAGAGCAGTTTAGGAGCCAGGTTTACATTAAATTTAAGCTCTTCCACTTATACTTGAGTGAACAAAGACATTGTGTATGTGTTTAGATTTCAACATATTTTGAAAAGGAATATTTTATATAATTGTATTATTATTATGGGAATTGTATGACTATATGTGCATATATCTATATATATAAATGTAGATGGCTTGGATATTGATATATACAAATATTAAATAAGTGTTTACTGAGATGATACATTGATGATGATAATAACAATGACAGTGCTGCTGCTGCTGATGGTCAAAGCTTCTCATTAGCTACAAGATGTACTTATTTCAGTGAGAAATCAGCATGGCAAGAACAATGTCTTTTAATAAGAACAGAAGTAGGAGTGTGCATTTTCTCAACCAGTTCAGAATCTGCTATTTGAAAATGGCACAAAGAGCAAAAATTTCTTGACTATCAACCACAGAGTTAGTGGAGACATAATAAAAAACTGAGTTAGCCTTCAAGCACATTGTCAGACATGAATCCCTTAAGTTTAGAAAATGAAAGGTCCCATTTTGTTAACCTGCATAGCAATTTGAGGCCTATTAGCTCCTAATTCCAAGGGCATTATCTCTCTAAACTACCTTATTGCTGCTCTTCTTGATTACTATGTAATTGAAACTAATAGAAACCACATTTGAATGTCCCTCTGAATATCAAAAGAGGAATCATGAAATGATAAAATCTTAAAAGCACAGGTTACTCTTACTATTAAGCTAGTATAAATCTATATTCAATATTTCAACACCAATTACAGATTACTTTTCTAGATAAATGGCATGCATGACATGAGTACTTTAACCAAAATCATAGTCTTTAAACTATCTGTGAAATATGCTTTTTAAATCAATTTGTTTAATGCCAGTTACTACTATTGTTGTTGTAAGTTAGTAGAGGTTTTGAATTTTTTTTAATCAAAGTCCTTGATTTAAGGGGGAAAAAACCCTACAGATCTATGACTATGAGACACGAGTTGATGAAGTCTTTCCTTTACTCAGTTTGTAATGGGCAGTGAGGGAAGAGAAGGAAGACAGATGAATAACAGTTACTATCACATGACATCATTCACCTAGAGAAAGACATGATATCAGGGATGTTGTGGACAGGTGGAGATGGTTGGATTAAGCTGGAGACTCACTTTTCTTTTGATATCCCAGGTCCTTGTTTCCTGTCCTGTATTAACAGAAATAAGGCAGTAGTAACTTCTGGAAGCACACTATTCAGAGAATAACAACAAAATTTCTCTTTCTATAAAGGCAAAGAGGGCTAATTCATCAACAAAACATGAGGGATCTTTCTGTGTTTTGACTTGCATACATTTTTCAGAAAATAGGAAACGTTCAGTTGCAAGTAAAAGAATCTTAACCCAAAATAAAATGAGAATTTAAAAACAGTATCATAAGGGATGATCTACTTTTAGAAATTGCAAGACCCCAGAGTTTGCATAATGCATACTCTGGACACCAACTGCTATTTCTTCTGCTGGTGCTGTTTACCCACTTAGCTTCATTATCTACAGAGTCCTGCATGGCAGCAAGATCCCTCTGATTCGCCTGGAACTTCACAGTCAAGCTTTACAAGAAAGGGTAGAGTTTTCTTCCTCAGAATCAGCCCCAGTGCTTGAAAGCTGACATGGGGAGGCAACCCATTATGGAGAGTACCTCAAGGAGTCATGGAGGGCAGCTCCTTAAATGAAAAACTGCTAGCCTACAAAAAACAAAGCAGATGCCTGTTATATCAAGGAGGTCCTTAAAGTACAACAAATGGCCTTGCTCCGATTTAGAATTCCTGTTTATTATTAACATAAAAGGACAGGAATATCGTTCAAACAAAAGAGATCAGAAGATCATCTTTGAGACTTTGGAAAAAATGAGCAGAATTATTTTTTGACCCAGTAAATTCAGGAATTTTATGTGTCAGGATGGATTACTGAAAGGCAAGGCAATGTTATTTAATGGTGGTTGGTGCTGATGCTGACAGGTAGCCCTTCTCCTGTCCTCCATGTCAGGACATCTATCAGTGGCTCCTGTCCATCACCCACACCACTGTAGCCAGGCGTTTCTTCAATGGAATACATCCATGAATTGGAATCACCTTAACAGGCTTGTCATTTGTTGTTCTTCCTGAGTCAGGCTGGTAGAAGAAAAAAAGAATTAATTTCCCCAGAATTTCAGAATTGATGCCTTAGTGATAAAATTTGGTATGCTTCAGGGATGGATATATCCAATCAAATTCTCTGAAATCATCAACTACCCTCTTTGGCTGATTGCAAAACCAATCTTCTTTGGGCCTCAATCAGAGTTAAGAGTTAGTTTGTAGTGTTCTGAGAAAATTTCAAACTCCTCAGTAACACAAAATCCTCAGGCATTTCAGTGTGATGTGTAGTTGTAGGAGCAGAGGAGGGCTGACATGGAGGACTCTGGTCTGTCATAGTCTACTAAGGCTGGTCCAGGACTATCTAATCAAAGGTCATTCCTAAAGAACAAAGTGAAGAGCCACTTCACTGCACACGTGTAAGGAGCAGAAGACACATCTGTGGCATTATTCCTTAGCTTCGAGTTCTCACAACAGTGTCAGCAGCTACTCTTACTGGGTTCCGAAGATGTGTTCCAAGTGCTCTACACAAACGTCTCAGGAGATTTTCACAATAGTCCTTTGAAGATAAGTAATTGATCCAAGATCACACCATTGGTCAGTGGCAGAAGCCAGGATTTGAACTTATAGGCATTGCCCCCACTATTCATATCCTTCATCTTAACAAATTTTATTTAACTCCAGATAGCAGAAATGCCAGGAAGAAAGCTGGGGAAAAAACTCATATGTCTACATACCATAGGCAAAACAAATGTTTATTCTTAATTATGTTTTATAATTTTTGCTCTTTTAATCAATCTCTAGACATGGGACTAGATGTGCGGGAGAAATTGCCATGCAAGCAAACAATCACAAGTGCGGGGTTGGAGTTGCCTACAATTCCAAGGTTGGAGGTAAGGCAGGCTTGTTCCTGTAGTTTGGGATTTTAGTTGGAGGCTCGTATTGCCTGCTGTAAATGGGGAAAGGGGATTTTCTCCAACCAGAGGAAGAAATGAGTTCCAATCAAAATTTGCTGCGGGACTCAGGAATATGACTTGCAAGCCAATCACTGCGGGACTCAGGAATATGACTTGCAAGCCAATCAGTGAATCTAGATTTCTGGAAGATGGATGGCTGAATACAGCCTATACATCCCTGCAGGAAAAATAATGGAATGTTGAATGACGCTTGAAGTCTAATTTTTTTCTACACTCTGACTTAAAAGGGATAGCTATTGAATGCTTCCTAAGAGAACAGAAGGAGGTGGTAAATTTAGGAAGGCTTTCCCTACCTCTGAATTCTGTAGATAATTTTCATTTATCAGCAAAGAAGAGCTTTTAAAATATTTTTTGAAATATGTTCTCATTACATGAAACAGCCAGCACTACCTTTGATGGCAGGAAAGGACAGTCTTTAGTTGCTTTGTTAAATGTCCTAAGTCCCCCTAGGACAATTGTGGACATTTTAATAAAGAAGCCATTTACAGGAGTTAGAAGGAGTCAACAAAGGACTAATTAGTATAAGCAGAGATTACCTCCCACCTCTAGGCACAAAAGACAAAGGGAAATGGGAGTCAATGGAAAGTAAAGAGAAAAAACTGTAACCACAGAGAGTCACTGGCCTGGAGCTATGGCCTGGCACATGGCAACAGAGCTGCTTCAGGCAGGGAGGATCTAGAGGAGGTGGAGCTCACAAACCACTGCCCTCCCATGTCCACCGCCCTATGGGTGGAGCTCACTAACCACTGCCCTCCCATGTCCACTGCCCTGTGGGTGGAGCTCTCTAACCACTGTCCTCCCATGTCCACCGCCCTATGGGTGGAGCTCACTAACCACTATCCTCCCATGTCCACCACCCCATGGGCAAATGCAGTTGACTTGAAGCCACCGGGAAGGCAGAAGAATTCACTGACACAGCCCGGTTCCAATAGAGAAGGGTGGAGAGCAGAACTGTAGTGATGAAAAGAGAAAACAAAACTTGTCTCTCTCTTTATATTTTCTATCTCAGTCCTTCACAATTATATACTAAACTTTGATCTTAATTTGGTTTCCAAAAGATGTAACCACAAATGATTACTTGTAGAGAATATTAGTACACTAAAACCACCTTAAACTCTACATGAGTACACTTTGAATTTGACTGTTTTAGAAACCAGATAAATATACATTGTGATACAAGCATGCATGCATCTCTAATATAGGACACGCTTAGAGCTTAAGTATCATTCCTGATTCTTTGATACTACCATCTTCAAAGTACTGTGCTGATAATATAGAGAAACTGAAGGCAGAAGTACAGATTATATAATCAAAAAGATTCACAGTTTAAGTTCCTTTAACCAAATAGCTATGGTTTGTGAAGGAATTAGCTGATCCTTCAATGTTTTAGAGAGGAATTACAAACAGATTTCTTAAGGTAACAGAGGAAAGCTGGTAGCAGCACAGAACTGAAACATAAAATTTCTGATTCTTAGCCTACTAAGCTTTGTCATTCACGCCAGTCTTTGGTGGTCCAGTTCCAATATGAATAACTAAAATTTATTAGATAGTCACATCATATGGCACATTATAGGACCTATATTCTGCAGTAGGCAAGATAGATGTGGTCATCATATTTTTAGGGTTCAAATCCAGACTGTCTGCATTCAAGCTGCATGGTTTTGGACAAGCCCCTCACCTTAGTCTATCCACCTACTTAGTACAGAAAATTGCAGCTCTTATCTGCAATGGTAGCTATAGAGAGAGATGAGCTTCTATGTGTAAGGTATGGGGAATAATGACTGTATGTAAAATATCTCCAATGCATGGGAGCTGTTACCATCAACTACATTTTACAGTTGAAGAAAACACACAGAAAGGTTATATTTCTTGCTTAAGATCATACAGCTATTTAAAAACAGAGCTGGGATCTTTTTCTTCCAAATGCTTTTAAAAGTAATTTGTTGTCTTTTAGACAAGGTCTAATGTATGTATCCCAGGTTGGTCTCAAATTTACCGTGTAACCAAGATGACCTTGAATTCCTGATCCTCCTGCCTCCGGCCCCTAAGTGCTGGAACTACAGGTGTGACCGAGCCTGTCCGCAATTCTTTAAAAAAAAAAAATGCATCAGTTTCACTGGCCATGTGAATTACATGCTTTTTCCCCTTGTTACATAATAAATAATAGTGTGAAAATTTATGGCTGTACACGGCACTGAATTATAAAGTAGCTAGAAGCCAGGAATAACAGGTATCTGCCTGTCTTATCCAAATTGCCTTTCCCTTTCTGGCTCTTGAATGCATGAGTCTGATGATGGGTGACAGTCTGTTAGAAAGCACAACTGGCAACCATGTCTGCCTTCTCCTGATGAGAAATGGTCCCCTTTAGGAGTGGAATTCATGGCAATGACTTCATCCTGGAGATTAGTAGGAAGAAAAGGAAGCATGTTCCTTGAAGCATAAAAGAGTGGCCTCTGGGTTATTTTTAATCAACGCTTAGAAACCAGTGTTCTTTCCCTATGCTGGTTTTCTGTTGTGAATGGATCTTTTCTAGCTGCACACCTTCCTATCAAGGCTCTTGTTTGAGAGACTGGGCCACAGCCATTCAAGGCACATAATCAGGAGCACGTGTGTTGAGGAAGGGGCATTTGACATTTTTTTCTCCTTCTAAAAACTCTTCTGTCATTTTGTTGGGATGGTGGAGGGAGGGGAGACATTTTTAATGGACAGCAAGCACGATACTTCCTCTTGTTCAAGATTGCTACTCCCTTTCAAACTCATACTGGGAACAGAACCTTGAATCATACAACAGCTACAAGTCACAGCCGTGTCATAGTACACAATATTGTCTCTAAAGGGCAAGCAAGAAAATTCACAGGGGCACTGACTTGCCCTTTCCCTCTGTGTTGTTAGAAACTGGGTCAGAGGTATTAGAAACATCCAGTGACTACCTTGTTTTTGATTCCTCTGAAAATGCTTGGAGAATGTGAATATTAAAACACTCAATTTTTCTAGATGAATACACTGACATTCTTGCTGTGTTGCTTCTTTGTTTCCCTCAGGCATAAGAATGCTAGATGGCATTGTGACTGATGCTATTGAGGCCAGTTCAATTGGGTTCAATCCTGGCCATGTGGATATTTACAGTGCAAGCTGGGGCCCTAATGATGATGGGAAAACTGTGGAGGGGCCCGGTAGACTAGCCCAGAAGGCTTTTGAATATGGCGTCAAACAGGTGAGATGCTTAACATAGACTCACAGGGGAATATGAGAAGGGAAGGACATTCAGTTATATAGAAAGAAATGAATTTCTTGATAAAATCTCACAATTTTAAAGGCACTTATCTAAGTCATTCTTCAGAGGAATTAAAGTACAGTATTAAACATGTTTCCATATTTGAGTCTGATATGAAACAGAGATTCATTACTTTTAGGATCTTTACTTTAAAAATATTTCTGAGAGCTGGGGAGCTATCCCAGCCAAAAAAGTGCTTGCTACACAGCATCAAACTTAAGTTTGATCCCCTCATCCAGATAAAAATCTAGAAGTGGTAGTGCATGTTTATCATCCCAGAGGGAGATAGAGATAGGCAAATAGATCCCTGAAGCTCACTGGCCAGCTAGCCATTGGTGACCTTGCTTCAAAAAAGCAAGGAAGATTAAACAAACAAACAAACAAACAAACAAACAAAACACGGTAGATGGTATCACAGGAATGACACTCAAAAGTGACCTCTGGTTTCCACGCTCATGTTCACATACACACACACACACACACACACACACACACACACACACACCCCACAATGCTTTTGGACATTTTTCCACCTTTCTCATTTTCTTGCTGCCTTCAGAGCTTTGTGGTAGGTAACCTACAACCTGTACTACTTCCAACTGCTCTGAGAATGTGTTCTTGAACGTAGCTAACCCTTGCCTTCTGCTCTACGCATGTGCATAGGATACGCCAGACCTCATATTGTGTTCTTTCACTTAAATTGACTGCATTCTTGGACAGATCTAAGACCTTGAACTATGCAGGATGAAACAAAGTAGAAACTTTAGAGAGCACCAATTGAAAAATCACAGAAAGAGTGGCCTTGACGAGTTCCATTCAATTGAAGAGTTCTTTTTAATGCAGCTGCAAAGCAGATCTGAATAATGCCTGATTTTGTCATTCTATCATTCAGCCAGAAGATTCCAGCAGAAAGAATGAGAGGAAGTTCAAAGATTCAAGTATAGTGGCATAAGCCAAGGGAAGAGTGAAAAAAAATTAGAATCAAGTGTTTAAGGCCAGATTATGAATCTACATAATAAAGAAAAGAAGGAAGGAAAAGTACTTGCTTAGCCTCACCTCAGAGAGGGCTCATTAACAGGAGGCTGGCAGAGCCTCTGTCTCCGCTGGGTTTGTAATATACAATCTCTGACATTAACACTACAGGGCCTGAGGTTAAAGATAGACTCCAAATAATTGCCTCTGAGAAACATCATGGATGTATTTCCTGGGGTTTGCTAGGGTTTGCCAGTGACTCTAGCAGATGATGACAGATGCTATACGTTCTGGCTTTTCCTTTAGGGGAGACAAGGGAAAGGTTCCATCTTTGTCTGGGCTTCCGGGAATGGGGGTCGTCAGGGAGATAACTGTGACTGTGATGGCTACACAGACAGCATTTACACCATCTCCATCAGCAGCGCCTCCCAACAAGGTCTGTCGCCCTGGTATGCAGAGAAGTGTTCCTCCACACTGGCCACCTCCTACAGCAGCGGGGATTACACAGACCAGCGAATCGTAGGTTGCTTTTGTTTCAGACTTTCTGCTGAGGGTAGGAGCATGTTGTGCTCTCAGACTGATCCTTTTCCCTGACCTTTGGAGGAATTGATTTGCTTTAACTTGATGTCTCAGTCAGGGAGACTGGTGCTTACTCACTTGAAAGACTGGCATATATTGGGAAGTTTCTCTCCAGGGATAATGACACTTCTGCCAAGATGATCTTCCCTGTCATTTTTAACTCAGCTTTGAGAAGCCACCAAACCTGTCATTACATACAGCAAGCAGTCCAAATGCCTTTTCTGCTTAACTGATGCCTCCCTGGAAACTCCCTACAAGGAGATTTCAGGGTTATAGGGACTTCATTACCTTTGTATTTTCTGGTCCTCTAATCCCAGGGATATAGTCTGACTTGGCCTTTAGCAAAATGATAAAAATACAGTCTACACCAGTGACATCTCCTAAGAAGAGATGACCTGCGTGGAAATTACAGTCTCGGTTTAGCCTGGGGTGAATGTCTCAGCCTCTAGAAAAACAGTTCAAAGAGGTTATAAGCCCAGAGTTCTGCAAGCCCATCCCACCTGTGCCTTCATTTCCCTGAGTCATCAGCAATGATTGGATTTCCCTTTAAGGGAATGAAAATGGAAGGCTGTTTGGAGGCTTTGAGAACAAATGTGGGCACTTGTTTTTGAGACGGGGTCTCCCTGTAGAAGATGGATACTTTTAATTTAAAATCTTAAAGTCTTACATTCAACTCTGGGCATGGAAAGAGTCAATTAGGTAAAGTATATAGATCCCAATCTAAATAAAAATAGCAGGTCATGACCCAATTAATAATGAACTTGGAATGTACGCATGATTCCCATTAACAGCATCTTGACAAAATTATCAGCACTAATGTCTGCTTTGAATAGAGCACTGTTTTACAGCTCTGCATCTGCACCTAGTTTAGGCAGCAGAGCCGTGTAGTCTCACTGAAAGGTGCTGGCTTCCCTCTCAAGCCATATGTTCAGTTACTTGAATAATAGACAATGACATTCTACCCAAGTGTTCTTTAGGGTAGGCATATTTTATAACCTTTGAAAGAGATAGATCAGACATCTGCCTACTGGTGTGCAGAGTCCCTGGCTGATGCCATTCTTGTGGATGTCCTGAGCTGCCTTCAGAAAATGGCCTGTTAGGGATTTAGAATCAGTACCATATAGACTGTCCCTCATCTGAAGCCTCTTGCACTGAAGCAGGAAGGATATTTTCCACCTTTGTAGATATCCCTCCTTTGGTAAACCAGCCCTGGGAGAGACAGCTGGTAGAGTCTATTTGAGACAGTTGCAGTAGCATAGCTTTTTCTTATGCAAACCTTTTCCTCAGCACAGTCATCTCTGGGGGCTTATCTGCGTCAACAGGTAAAAAGGGCATCTTTCCTTCCGCAGCTCTCTGAGAAGCAGACACCATAACCTGAGAAATCCAGGAACCCTAAGTGAAAAGCCAAAAGAAGCGATAATAGAACAAATTATTTTTTTACACCTCCCTCCTACACAATGAAATCTCTGGCTAAAACCATAGCACTGGAGCTTGGGCGGGTGTCTTGTTAGTAATCCTTTGCCCTGACAGCTTGTTCAGACAGCAAATTGATTGAAGTCTTTGTGGTTTCTTTGCTTTATCTCAGTAAGCTCTTCATTACCCTGAAGTTAGCCTGCATAGCTCCTTACATATAATGATACTGTCCACCAATACTTTAACAAGTAAGTTCTTACACCTCAGAATATGAGTCAGGAAATGTAGCTCTCATTTTGCTGACATGAAGACCATACAATGTGACCAGGTGACACATCTAATACACAGCAGCTGTAGCATTTGAATCCAGAACTAAATATGGCACATTTAAAAAAATTTAAACCCCACCATTCTCATCTAAGTATAGAAGACATCAATCTTGAGTTTCCAATCATCAACAGGTAGTGCAAAACTCATCCTAACCAACTTTTGTTCTAGTAGTTCAAGGGGCTCAGATCAGGATGTCTTTACATCCCTGGGTTATAGGGGCAGATAGATGTCAATCTGAAGGCCAAAGGGAATTTTGTTAGAATTTCTAAATATGCCCAACCAAGCACAATGGACCTGATGATTAATGGGCCAGCATGATTCACAACGATTTAGAAACAGTTCCTTTTTTATAGACACATTTTGTTTGGGAATCTCAGAAGAGAAAATATTCATAGTGGGAGTGCTTCATCCCCAGAAAAGGCATCTTGCTGCCAGAATTACAGGCAAGTTGCATATAGAGGAGAGTGAACTAAAATATCAGCAGATGGCAAACATCCGCTCATGGTTTAGAGGAGGAAGTGTGGAATCCAATCAGCTGAGTTTCCTGGTCATAGCAGATGCAGACCTTGGTCTGGCCACCCCTCCCACACGCCTCATGTGTCTCCACCCTTCTCTTCCTCCCAGACAAGTGCTGACCTGCACAACGACTGTACAGAGACCCACACAGGCACCTCGGCCTCTGCACCTCTAGCTGCTGGCATCTTCGCTCTGGCCTTGGAAGCAAAGTAAGGCCCAGAAAATTCTTAATCTCCTTCACTGAGACTGCTTCTCGTGTTGTTTCCTGAATATGTGACTATAGGAAAAATTGTGTAGAACTACAAAAACAACACAAAAAACAAGATAGCTCTCTTTTTGCCACTTAGAGGTAACCATTGCCGATAACTCAGTGTAGGTCTCACAAGCACACAGCTTTTAAAATGGCAATATTAATATGCACATTATTTTCTAATCTTTTAAAATCTACTTTGTAATATATTAGAAGTAGTACTTTCTCTTGTCTAAGTCAGCGTTTCTTCGCCTTTAAAACTCATGTTCTCCCCTAGTCCACTTCCCACTGAGCACCAAGGCTGTTTCATCAGACAGATTTCTGTCCAAATAATTCCTGGAAGTAATATTAAGAGTAAGTTTATAAAACTTCCTTTCTTCAGATTATAAAAGTCTAGTCCTGGTGCTAATAGAACCACATGGCACATTAAAATGTAAAACAGGACTTTTATCTTTTCATACCATTCCATCCTATAATACATTTAATCATGCGTAAATATAGTTGTCCAGAAATATTGGTCATCTCTGATAGGTTCCTCATGATGAACACTCAGAATTGGAATTTCTGGGTCAAAAAGCAGGTACGTTTTAATGATTTTTAATGCATAGCAACAAGGTGTTGCCTTGAAAGGCCATATACCATTTTATATTCTCACCAGGCGTGTATGAAAGTGCCAGTTTCTAAAGCACTTGCAAACACTGTGTTTTTTTTAGCATCTTTAAAAATATTTGTTGTATAAGGGAAAATGGTATCTCATTTAATACTTATTTTGTTACTGAAGAGGCTCAATATTTTATATCCTTTCACTGTTTGCCCTCTCTGACTGCCTCCTTATGGCCCTGACTTTGTTTTATGATCTTGGTTCAGAAAATCCATTAATACTTTATCAGTTTGACATTTACCTTTTAGTTTTACTTACCGGTAATTTTAGTGTAATGAAGCTTATTATGTACATAGTTATGTTTGCCAGTCTGTTTTGCTAAAGTATCTTTCTTTGCTTCTGTCCTTCAAAAAGTCTCACAACCCAATCATTAGATTAACAATTATTTACATCATGTAGCTCCTTTATCATATTTGGGTTCTAAATCCTCCTGGCCTTTATTTTAGTGTATAATATCAAATAGATTTAACAACACTGTAGTTTCACAATAGTTATTCAATAATCTAATACTTAATACAGAAGAAAGATGTCTATTTATATCACACTGCATTTCCACAACTTTTAATTTTTTTTTATTTCCATCTTTTGGTTTTGTTTGGTGACAGGAAGTTATCTTAACTGAAAAAGGGCACAAATAGTTCCCATCTTTGGTAGTGCAGATGCACAAGAGCAGAAGAAGAGGACATACTGGCCTTTCCCCCAACTGGAGAAGTCCTGAGACACTGAGCCTTTGTTCACAGGAGTCCAGTTCAGCTCTAATGCCCTGGGGCTCCCTGTAGAAATGGGGCACAGTCGCTGAGTATCAGCAGTGAGATGGCACAGTGCCTAAGCAAGACAGATTCTTGAGGCTCTCACTTGTGTCTACCTACTGAGAAATGCTGGAAGATGTTTATTTGATAAGAGAGGACGCATAGGCAACTGTTCTCAGAAAAGCTGTGCTGCAAAAATAAGTAAGAATGAGATGGACAGAGGGCAAAGATCTATGGATACAAGCTAAGACTGGACCAGAAGACTGAAACCAACCTCAAGGGAAAAAAATCCAAATAGTAAAATTTGCAGGGAATGCCTGGCTTCAAATTCTACCATTAGCTGTGTAGTTCTATGCAAGTTAGTTCACTTGCTGTGTCTCAGTCTTTCTAACTGTATAATTAAGGGGTGAAATTAATTTTTCACACTACGATCCTTATACAATCCTCAGATCTGAAGTTAGAGATGTTGTAGAACACACAGAGGTAACCTAGCAAGAATTACTTGGATTGATAGTGAGGTGTCTAGATTGAAAGAAAGCAAATAAAAAACAGACTTTCAATATTCATGATCTCAGAATAAGCTGTTAGTCATAGAGAGCTATTAAAAGAAAAACATCCTTCAAAAATTTAAAGTCTAGGGCCTTTCTTCCTTACTCAGTACCTGTCAGATGCATATAACAAGCCAGGCCAAGTCTATTTTGGTTTAGTGATGAATATAATAGAAATATTAATTTAGTTGAACAGTTATGATGTGAATTTCACATAAGAAATATAATTTTAAAGTGTATTCTCTGGTTTCTAAACCTTCAACCCCTTTCTAATAAAAGGAGGGAAATTATCTATTTAGATACAGCATCATTGCTCTCATTAGTCTGTAGTGAGCTTTTTCTATTGCTGTGAAAGACATAGGCGGTTTCCAAGTAGACTGAATGTTTTTGTTCCTAAATAAAGAATTACTTGGGTTGGGATACATATGGCATTTTTCTGGGAACTGGCTGGTAGGTTCTCAAAGATCCTTATTGTGTCCATGATTTAGGAGATATTAATAGCCTATGATTCTCCAGGTGTGGAGTATAAGAATTTAATTTCCCTCATTTGGATTCCATTCATCAGCAAGATGGACATGATCTATCGCAACACTTATATCCATCCTTCCAAAGTATATAGCAATTATTGACATGTCTGTTCTCAATTGGATGGCTTTCTGAACTCAATTGCCTATAGTAAGACTATATATCAGAAAATCTGAATGTCAGAAGTGAGACCAAACCATATCCCTCGTCACTTGAAATTGAATCATTATGTACTGTCACTTAAGGAACAGCTATGAATACTGAAGAACTTTTAAATATTATTACTAATCCACTGACTCCAATTTGTGTTGTCTATATGATTCTGGATGTAGGGCCATGCACTGGAGTGTGGTCAACCTACCAGGAGCCACAACCTTAAGTAAAACTGACCCTCCCTTCCCAGAAGCCATCAGGTGCCATAGCTCTTCAGTTAGGATGGGGGCTCATGAATCCCTTTTCACTCCATGCTAGAATCTTGGCTGGCTGGATCTTGTGCAGGCACTAGCTCTTTGAGTTCATGTATGCAGTGGTTTGTCATGTCCAGCAGACATGGTTTTCCTCTGGTCCTCCCTGACCTCTGGTTCTTATATCTCTCTGCTCCCTGTTTCACATTGGTCCCTGAACCTTGGGGCGAGGGTGTGATATAGGTATCTTATATGTGGCCAAGCACTCCACAGTCACTTATTCTCTGCACTTTGACTAGTTGTGAGTTTCTGCATTAACCACCATCAAATGCACAAAGAAACTTCTCCGATGAGGTCTGAGAGGTGGACTAATCTAGAGAGAGAGAGAGAGAGAGAGAGAGAGAGAGAGAGAGAGGAATTTACAGAGCCAATAGATATATCCATTTAGCAAACTAATAGTGGCAGGTTTACCACTGGGGCCTGTAGGATCCCGATCCAAAACCACAGGTTCCTGGTCAGATTTACAGTACCAGGAATGGTTTCCTCCCATGAAAAAGGCCTTAAATCCAATCAGAAAGTGGTTAGTTATCCCCATACCATTTCTACCATTATTATGTCTATGGATATGTCTTGCCATGGCAATCATTATTCCCATTCATAGGGTTCATAGCTAGGTAAAAACCGTTGATGACTTTCCCCCCAGAAGCCTGCATACTACCTGACTTGATTTCTCCATGTGTGTGACCAATGTGCATGGTGTCCTCAGCAATAGGGTCTTACCATCAAAGTTCTGATGAAAAACCAAGAGCAATGGCAATGGCCTATATTGTTTGGAGGATCTCTGGGACACTTCTGACCAACAACTCAAGGGGTGGTATTCCACAACTGGCACTGGGTATTTATTATTTATTTACTTACTTATTTATTTATTTGTTTTTATTGTATGTGTATGAGTGTTATGCCTGTATGTGTGTAAGTGCACCCATGTTATGCAGGACAGAAGCGGGCATCAGATACCCTGGAACTGGAGTTACAAACAAATGGTAGTTAGTTACTATGAGGGTGCTAGGATTCAAACCTGGGCCTTCTGTAAGAACAGCCTGTGCTCTTGACTGCTGAGCCACCTCTCCAGCCCCATGGCACTGTTTTGTTTGTTTGTTTGTTTTGTTTTTTTATTTGGCAACCTATGGCTCCTGGGATGAATATAAGCCCCTGTGTAGTCTATTTTGTATGAACACACACACACACACACACACACACACATATGAAGTTTATGAAATAATAGGCTTCCATATGGCTTTTTCGAACATCTTGGTCATCTCTCCCCCCTTAGTCATCTCTCAGTTTCCCCTTCCTTGAGATCTTTCATCCCCTCACCACCAATGGATCCTTTCTAGCTAGCTGGATTGTGCAGGTACTCCAAATTAAACACACAAATCTAAAGATCGGACAGTAAGATCCACATATAAGTGATAACATGAAATGTTTGTCTTTCTGCAACTGTGTTACTTCATTCAGTACTTTTTTTTTAGCTCCATCCATTTACCTGAAAATTTAATACATTCATTTTTCTTTACAGCTAAATAAAATTTTGTTGTATATAGGTACCACGTTTTCATTATACATTTGTCAGCTGATGAACAGCTAAGCTGATTCCATGCCCAACCTATTATGAATAAGCAACTATCAACATGGGATGTGCATGTGTCTGAAATAGAGAGACTGGAGAACTATTGACTAAACTTGTCAAAATATAGCATTTAGGCCAGGCATGCAGGCCTTAAATCCCAGCACTCAGGAGACAGAGGCAGGCAGATATCGAGACAAGCCTGGTCTGTATAGCAAGGCTACCAGGCTCCCTATCCCAAAAACCAAAACAAACCGACAAAAAACAAACAAAAGAAGAATAATGGCATTCAGTGTTTATCAAGTTCTTACTGTAGGGCAGACACTCTGCTCAACTTTCACATAAATGTTGATTCTAATCCTTGTGACAGCATTATAGAAATTGTTACTAGTTCCATTTTATAAATTAAGAAACTGAGGCTTAGAAATTGAAAAGTATAACCAAT